CCAACTGAGAAAATTTCTGGGCATTTTAAAGTTATTCCAGAGGGGAAAAAATAATCACAGAAAAAGACAGAGGGTTCCCCCACTCCACTGCTGGAGTGCTACCATGCAGATGGGGCTGCATTTCTGACAGATTCTCAAACAAAATCCCTCTGTGCCTTTGACAGCAGCAGATGTACAGGTTAAGATCTGTTCCTTGTTCCTTACAAGGATTATTCCTTTCTTCCTCCCCAACTGCCATCATTTCTCAGGACTATTAACATGATTCCGGGACAGCAACAGTCAATTAACCTTTGGTGTTCCTCACCACCAGCAGCTTTCCAAGGAGGACATTTTGGAGCTTACCACCTCTCCTCCACCTGCAAACTGTAGGGACAACACTGCCTTTGGAATCTGGGGTTTACTTTCTCATTYTTTTGTTTCATCGATGCAATAGAACAAACCAAGGATGAACTGGATAATAGCACTGCCACCTCTTGATTTTAATTACACAAGCTTGTATCATTTTTCTCCGTGAAGCTCTGACTGCTGGAGTTGCATGCATAATCAAATGGGAACACTCTGGCAAAATTTCAGCAAAAAAGAACACCACTGGCTTCCTGCGTGTGCCCAGAGKGCTCTGTTTTACAGAGAACTGCATGGTTTGGGTGACCAGTTCAGAGTTTTAAATACCTGGCCAAAAGCAGCTGTTCTGAGCTTCMCCTTTGGCACATTGTCCAGGTAAAACAGCGGGTCCTGCCTCAGAATAATGGTGCTCAGGTACCTGCTCACCTGTACAGCAACACATCTCAGCCCCCTYAGATGGCTGAAAAATCCTAGAGAAAGTACTTGTGACCACCTCTTACTGCTAAGAGGCCCTACAATCCCACAAAAAGCCCAGGCCAGAACACGAACCCCAAGCTCTGATCGAGCCCAGAGCGCAGCGCAGGACAGGAAAATATCCGCAGTTGTTTCTAACAGAGGGAGCCGCAGCCTCCGCGAGGAAAGAGCTCCAAACCCCACGGCTGCTTTGCACGTTCCCCTCAGCCAAAGGTGCAGCTGTTGGGACACAAGCCCAGCCAAACCCAGTGTATGGATCCAACCCAAAACCATCCCCGGGGCTTGGCCAGTGCCGGACAGCCCGAGCCTTGGCTCCTGGAGCCAGGTGTCAGCAGCAAACCCCAGCGCCTGCTCCCACCAGGAGAACATCCCTCCTTCCTGGCTGAAGGAAGAAATAGCCCAGCTCCTTGCCAGCACACCAACCCAGAAGAAATAAGCATGTTTTTGTTTTTGTTGCTGAGGTTTTAACCCAAACATCCTGGTTTTATGATGCTTTAGGTCTGAAGTTGACAAACAGACAGAAGCAGAGTGTGGCAGCAGAAGTTCAAGCAAAATTCTGTCAAATTTATCAAACTTATAGCTCAGGGAGAGAAGAACATCTTTTTTTGCTATTCCTCGAGGACATTTTGTTACTAAACTTACAGCARTTTATTTTTCTAACGTTCCCCCAAGTGAAAGCAAGGTTTGGCAACTTGCAAGGCAGAAACAAATKTCTACTTTTCATTTTGCTAGGATAAAATTAATTTTGCTTGAGGGAAGGCGACTTTGTTTTTTAATTGGATTAGGAATCAAAGAAGAAAAGAAGAAAAAGAAGGAAAGGAAAACAAACCAAAAAAATCACTCTTCACATAGCAGGCTGTAACTGCTTGGGAAGAAGGCCTTCCTAAACTCTGCAGCGCAGAGCCTGCTCCACTGTGTTTGTTCTCTGGACTTCATTMTGGGCACAACAACCCAGGGGAATTCAGACCACCTAAAGCCCAGCACATGCACAAGTCACRGCACAGAGAGGAAAGAGATCAGAAAGTTCAGCTGCAGCTTCAGAGGGTTTGGGTTTGCGGGCTCAGGTCTGTGGTTCAGTGCCAAAAGGGCTCCAAAGACACGGCCACAAGCAGCCTGGAAGGGTTACCTGCTCCACAGCCAAGCACTACAAATTACATTATCATGAGCTATGACTCACTGGAGAAATATTGATAAAAGAGAAAGTTGCTTTTGAAATAAGACAAGGAGATGTAAAAAATAATTGCATAAAAATTTCTTCAGCTGTTTAATTTAAACACTTTTATGCCTGAGGGTCTAAATGAATACACGGAGATCTTTTTGTTCCTGCAGCAATCAAGTATTTCCTGATATTACTGATAATGACTTTAAAACAGCACACTTTAGCAGGGCTGTTATTTTATTTTCAGCCTTTCTGGGCGGGATGGAAGCGATAACACAKGGGAGGAAGGTGGTGACAGCTCATCAGAGGAAGCATATGTCAGTCTGGTGAGGAGTTAACGAGGGCTGGCACCGGAACCTCAGCCACGCTGCCTCCAACACCAACTTCCAAACACAGACATCCCATCCTGACACAGCCCCAGAGCTTGTCACCTTCATGACAGCTAATAAACCCGGCCTGAATCAAGATCAAGCTTTGGAGTTCCCTCAGTGCAGTCTTAGTTCYGAATCTGGTAGCACAGGGACCTGACCCAAAATTCAATATTAAACCAGCTGAATCCTTTTTCTTGGCTTCCAGCGGGTGAATCACATTTCTGAACAAGACTGGGTGAGTAAATTATACTTTGCCTGAATTGACACAAGTAATTCTCACTCTTTCCTGCTCATCTTTGGCATGAGCTAAAACTGTCAAACATTGCCCAGAAACACAAGTGTTTCATTTAAACAAGATCACTACTTTTGTGAATAAATTCTGTCCACTTTTTTTGTCCATCTCTAGTTCCACACACCTTCAWGTGAGTACCACAAGGACAAGGGGATGGCAGGAGAGGCCAGAAGAGCATCTKCTGTGTGACAGCAGACACTGCCACGAGAAGCCACCAGGATCCAAGAGGGAGGGGACAGCAGCCATGACTGCTGGGCTGGACACTCAGGGGACAGAGTGACAAGAGACAAGAGGCAAGCAACAAGAGACAAGAGGCTCCTTAGAAAAGCAAGCAGATTGCTCTGTGGGTCTGCTCCCATGGGCCTCAACACAACCACAGCCAGCCACGGGACCAGGCCAGAGCCCACAATGAGTACTTCTCAGCAAAAGGACAAAAAAAAATCATAAAATGGTCTTTAGGATGGGTTAAGTCCATTTCACCCCTTAAATATTTCTACAGTTTTTGTTGTAAAGGAAACACAAGTGAAACCCCCCTATCTGGTGCAGTTCTGATGATGAAATGATACTAGATAGGCCACTGGATAAACCATTAGGAAATCAAAATACCAGCTGGCAAATATCATGCCAGGCATTCAGAGGAGCCTGCAATCACCCATGCAGCTAAAGAACAGAACCTTCCCTTTGGCATGTAAAGGTGTGCTTATTGCCAGTTTATTGCCAACACTGCACAGAAGCCAAGCATTGCAAAAAAACCACAACACATTTCAACAGGAGGCATTCYGTTCCCTCCTCCAGCAGATGAGGTAAAACTGCTCTCTTAAACACCCCACTTTTGCCTAGCTGCAAGGTGTTTATACAGGCTCATTTGGGAAGGGAGCATGAAAAAAAGCCCAAGTCTCTTCAGGCAGCATTTCCCTGATGACACCTGCCCAGGGGAAGGAGGAGCACCAGAAGGCCAGCGCCYGCGCTCCCATGGGAATGCTGGRGAGGTTTTAGCTCTGCTGATTCCCAGGTCACAGCAGACCCCGAGGCTCTGGTTATGCACCACTCGTGCATTATGCTCAGCAGCATCACAAATTGCCCCAGTTTCCCTGAGCAGCCCTTGGAGAAGGCAAAGGAAGGCGTGCTCGGTGAAATCTCGCACTTTCCGACTGCTGTGGCACCATTTGGGGCCGGATCCAGCACCAGCACAGCCCGAGCAAGGACAGTGCTGCCCTGGCAGCCRTGGCATCAAGGCTAAAATCAGCTCWGCCTGACAACTGCAGTCATGGTGTCAGGGCTGCACGAGGATTTGAACCATGCTGCTCCTATCCATGATCCACTTTTAAACAGCAAAGCACAGCTAGCATTTTATCAGACAGCTCCAGGGTCACTCAGAACACCCTGATGTGCCCATGCCCCTCTGGCAGCTCCCTCACTCACTCATTTGCTGAGCAGCAGAACTGATGCTGCTGCAGGTGAACAGTGAGCTCAACAAGGAACTTCCACAGGCACTGCAACAGCATCCCAATCCCAAATTCTTCTCACTGCCACCCAGCCTAATGCAAATATGCTTAACACCATTTAACATTATTTACATTTACACTATGGTAAATCCAAACAAAATCGACAAAATCACACATACGACCCAAACTCTGTTGCTTTCACTTCTTTTCTGAAGTACTTTGAGTCAGTTTCTACTGCAGAATATCACATGATGACAATTTCAAGAAGAAACAGTCATTTCATGTATCTAGGTATTTCTGCTTTCTCTCTCCTCAGAAAACTCAATGTATTCAGTAATTATTGTTTTGCTGTCTGAGAAACGGGAAGAAAAAAGCCACACACCACAAATAAAATCCCCCATGCTTCCTACAGACCACTCTATTTGGTGAGGGCAGCAGAAACAGCTGCAGATGGTGAGATGGCAGGTGCTGAGGTACAGAGCACAGTGGGGGAAAATATTACTGCTAGTGCTGATGTGAGGCTGCAAGACTGGATCTGSACTGTGCCAGAGTGACGCAAACAAGCAAAAATTGAGTAAGAAGAATTTTTGTACCAGTTTCTGCTGTCTAAAGAACACTATAATCATCCATCTGTCCAGAAATGTTATTAAGGATTACAGCAGAGGAAAAATCATAGGCAGAGAAGTGCAGCAAGAACTGTATTTGTTAGAATTTCTCCTGAGGCACGTAACCTACATTAGTCCTGAAGAACAGAGAAAAACCCTTCCCCTCCTCTCCCCAAAAACTTGAGGAAATGATATCCAAGCTCTGTTGTGAAAAACAGTGTGTATGGGCTTTAAAATAAGCAAGTTTTGGCAGCACCTACGTGAGGAAGCCAAATGCAGGACCRAGGAGCTGGAGGTAGCTTTCATTCCTACCTGGTTCAGTGCAATTCCTGACGTAGAGCTGCCCCCCAGCCTCTGGCACATCGGTCACATTCTGCTCACGTGCTTGCAGTAGCTGTCTCCCACTCCACTTGTCACTACTTTCCACAGAATAGCTCAGGGCATCATAACCTGAAGAAAAAGAGCAGAGGGTACATGAGGAAAGGCAATGCCTGATTCTGTTTCTGAACACCTGAGGCAGCCAAAACATTTGCATTTCAAAAAACCCATGGCCCCTTGGGTTTAAAAGAGCAGCATTTCTAACCCCACTGGAAAGGGACACTGCCAGCAGCTCCCCATCCCACAGGAGTCAGGTGCATTCCCACACAGCTTCCAAAGTTCATCCTGGAACAGGAACTCTGTTTTCCCACCCAGCACCATCTCACTGGAGTCAGAAYACGCCTCTGCCTCATTTCCAAACCTCCATGCTTCCAGTATCAAGAAATACCCATGAACATGAGGGGCATGACTTTGTCTCACCACTTGTGACCCACCCCTTGCTCTGCTCTCCSTTCAGCTTTGCCCTGCTGCCAAGTGAAGCTCTGGTTTAGCAATTTCAACACAGACAATTTTAGCAATTTCAATCAGACAGCTGGCTGATTTCCACGATATTCCTGGCACAAGGCTGGTCAGCCCTGGACATGCCATGTCTGCCTAATCAGCTGGACACACATGCTCATGTGTCAGTTCTATGCCTCCCACGCCGGTTCAGAATTAAGGGAGGAAGAAAAAGCTGGTTTTGTTTTTTTGTTTGTTTTTTTGTTTTTTTTTTTCAAAGCCAGAAGGTGTCTACACACCAAATCAGCTCTCTTGCATTGGAGACCTTGTGGCCTTCCAGTAACAAAGATCATTTGAGATGGATTTCCTCCCACCCTTCCATCTCCTTCCCACCAAGCGTAATATGGGCTCTCTCACAAGGACTTCTAAATTATTCCCAGTTTTGTCCACTACTTTGGAAAMAGATAACAAGCAAAAAAGCAAAGGGACAGAGATTCAAGACTTGGGCCAATGTCTCATAGGATGAATAAGCACAAACAAAAGGTTCTCTGCTGGCACATCCAGTTGAGAGAGTGCCCAACCTGAGACTCGTCCGCCTTGTCCAGATCATGCTCTGCTCCAGCCACCCCACGTCACACTACCAGCCAGGAGGAAATGTTTGAGAAAGGGCTGACAGGGAATCTGCATCCCAGGCCACCAGCAGTAACTGGRACCAACRCTCCCAGGRCTCCCAGGAGCTGTCTGGGTGCRCATTTGGGTGCATATYTGGGGGAAGAGCTGCAGTGGCACAGGCAGCCTGAAGCACTCCTGTTTTCTAAGTAAAAAAACCCAACATTAATATTGGTAAACTAAATGCCATCATTTGAAGCTTCAAGCACTTTGTCCTTTATGCTTTACAAATGTTAGAGAATGGAACTTGCTGTCAGTTTAGTCTGTGATAAGCTGATGGAAGCGGACTGCGTTTCCAAGAAGGARCACAAGCCATAATGCAGCATCAGCCATCTCCCATAACAACAAACACTCCGGCAGCCTGAGCAAAGCAGTTTCAGTTCCACATGCACGCTGCTCTCAAAGCAGGGGAACTCCTCTGCAAGCAGGCAACACTTCTCTGTGTCACTGATGGAGCAATGGCATGAGGGAGAACACGGGGACTGCCATGGCCCCGGAGCTCTGGCAGAACCTCTCCTGCTCCCTCCGCTCTGCCTCCCTCGGATGGCAAACTCTTCCAAGCAAGGGGTAAAGAAGGAGAAAGTCATCTAAGGTGACTTTGGAAGGGGAAAAGCTTAATTTGGCAATAGAAGTGTTTATAAAGGCTACATCCAGCACTGACAAAAATCAGCGTAAATAGCAGCGGACCTGGTCCATGGCTGAAGGCGATGGGATGGCTGTGACACCAGGAAAAGCTCTCCCCTGGTGCCTCCAGGCTTGAGCAGGACCAGCTGTCCCATGGCAGAACTTCCAGCCAACCATCCCCAAATCCTGCCTAGGGCATCTCCATTCTAACACACATTACACTCAACAGAGCAACAGAAAACAGAAGTTAGAGATGAACCTTTTTCCAAGCTTTGGCCTTCCAAGGATTTCCCTGTGAAAACAGGGACACGTTGAGATTTTAACCTTGCTAACAAGGACACTTGGTGACATATAACAGGCCCCCTGTGGTTTTCCCCGTGTGCTGGCACCAATCTCCTTGCAGTGTGGTGGAGGTTGCTCAAGGCCTGGCCTGCTTTAGGTGGTGGCACGAGCCACAAGCACCAGAGACACCACCTTGGCCCCACAACATCCTGCCAGGCCACCACCACCATGGCCAAACTCTTCTTCCCAAGGAAAGAAGAAAAGCTAACAGTGCAAAAAAGAAAGCTAACAGTTATCTTCATTAAATGCATTTATTCAATATTGTATGATCTTTAGTGGGAAAGAACCAAGAGGTTCATTCGTTTTCTCAGCAGAGGTAAAGACTACTGAACATCCACCTTAGCTACAATGTCATTTTGGGCAAGCCAGATTGAACACTTTCCTTATTAACATTCTAGCTGCTGGCTTTATGCTAAAACAATACTGTGACATCCTCTGAAGGGTTGGTACAATAAAGAATTTTTCCAAAATTCTGTACCATAGCGTATTTCAAAGCAGTCACATTATTTTTTCAAGGGCTGAACATTGCCACAAGGTATTTTCCACCATTCCAATTACCCATCACCAGTTTTACATTACACACTCAGAACCCCGCTTCTGGAGAGCTTTCCTTGCGCTTCCTCCCCAAGATATTCCCATGGACAATAAGCACATGAGTCATTTTTCCCTGTCTTTGTGCCTGCTCCTCATTTCATAACAGGACTAAGACAATGCAGTCGGTGCGTTTCCAGTGGCCGTGTCCCTTTACATGAGATGGGGAGCACACGAGTGTGCGCTCGCTGGGAGCTCCTGTCCCTGCCAAGCTGGAGTGGCAGCCTGGTGGGAACAGCCTCTCCAGCAGAATTGCTGATCCGTTCCACTTATGATCAGGAAAACGAAGCAGAGTGGAAAGAACTGATGGGGCCGCTCCGAACTCCAGAAAAGGCTCTGTGTGTGACCCAGATCTCCACGTGGAGCTCCTTACGCTGTTCCAGATGGCTCTGGCTGGAGTTTACAACTTTCAGCGCTGCAGAAACACAGCCAAGCGCATCCTGGCTGCACTTCCCAGCACRAAGAACACTACTTTACAATGCTGAACAACATCCCCACGCTCYCCAACTGCACTCTGATCTCACAAGTGCATTTATTTCAGCACCKAGGCACAGGAACCCCAACAAGATGGGGCAGCAGCAAGACCTCAGAGTGGACACCCAGCTCCTTCTGGGGACAAAGCAGGCTGGTGGGAGAYGGGGGTCCCATGGAACAGGGAGGCCTTTGCCCAGCTGGCCCCAGCAGCCAAATGAGACAGGAGCACCCAAACTCAGCACTGAAAGAGGGGAAGAAACTCTTCCACTGCATGGAAGAGGTGAAGAAARGCAAGGAAGATGGAAGGTGCTCGTGAGCAGACGGATGGAGCAGGAAAGAGCTGATGGGCCAGGGCTGGAGAAGGGAAGAGCTGAGGGCAGTGGGTGGGAGGAGGGAAGAGTTGATGGGCAGGGGGCTGGAACAGGGAAGAGCTGACAGGCAGGRGGCTGGCCCAACCAAAGGGACAGCTCTGTCACTGCTGCCTTTCCCTGGCAGGCACCAAGCACTGCTGCACAGGCAGGGCTCTRAGAGCTGGCAGGTATCCGCAGCTCTCACTGACAATAAACTACTTTCTATGCAAACTACTGGYCGGAGCCAAAAACAGCACAGCTTTTCCGAAATATGCTTGCCCTTCCTCCTCTCTCGTCTATCCCTTTTATCCATTGTTTTCACGGTGGTAGCTTTGGATTTTGGAGGGTTGGTTTCACAACCAGCTGAATTATCTTCGTCTCCCTGAAACTTTCCTACAGTTAAAACAACAGAGGAAGAAAAAAAGSCGGAACAAACAAGCACGAGCTTCCACATGAGCCAGCGCAGAGGTGGAGAGAAGTGGTGTGACAACCTCCACGCCGTGCATCTCCCCCTCATCCCTCACAGACCAGGTGAATCCTGGTGGGASAGCAGTGCTCAGGTAAATGAACTGCAGCATTGCTCCCCAGCTGCYCTCCCACAGCTGTGTCCCTGTGGCTGCTGTCCCCAGACACTCAGGGACATGTTCAGCCAGCCCCTGCCCACGGGTTTCTCCTACCACCATCAGACCTGCTGCAGACAGCCACCACATAATCTGAGCTCGAGATTGCATAAGCATGGCATAAATGGATTATCTCTTTTCCTAGGCTGATTTGGGAGATGCTTTTCTTCCCAAAATCATCGGCAGCAAAGACCATAAATAGAGCATCCTCAGGGGAAAAAAACCCAAAAAAAAACAAACAAAAAAACAAAACAAGAAGAAAAAAAAAAACCAAAAAAACAACCAAAAATTCTACACCTGGCTTTGACAAGCAGCCTGCTCCTTGCACCTGATTTCAAAGCTGTATTTCCACACATCCCAGCCTACAAGGAGAGGCACAGAAGGGCAGGGGAAGCACACTGCTGACAATACCTGTATCACACAAGTGAGGCCAAGCTGCAGGCAGAGACCCTGCAGGGTTCCCCACACCAACACCCTCAACCAAACACCCTCCCACACATTTTCTGGAAAACCCACAGCTCCACAAAACTCCAGGCACRATTACATTGCAAATGCTTCTTGCTGTGTCGCAGAATTAACTGCAGCCTCATCTAAAGATCCAGTCTGGGCCAGAGGAGGCTCACAYACCTGGAGGGGTGAATGACAAATCCTCCTGTTCCCCCAGCAGCAGGGACCACASAGTCAGTCTCTGTCCAAGCCAATCCTCCTCTCTGCCAGCTTGAAGACCCTTCAGAGGCATCAGAAAGGATCACTGCCTGAGYCCAGAATTCTGTCCCAGCCTCAAACACACCACATTAATCACAAATGCTGTCTCTGTAGCCCTCGTCCCTCACAAGCACCCTCAGAGGAGCGAGGCAGAAGCCAGGTACCCATCAGAACGCAACTCCGTGCACCTACCGCCTCAGCTGCCAGTCCTTCTCACCGAGCCCATGGCTCCACACACCTCCAGACAGACTGCC